TGTCAGCACGGTGGTAAGGGGCGAAATGTGGTGAGGGTTGTGTCACCCTTCGTTTGCTCTATCGGGTAAGGAGTGAAAATGTTCAAAGAGCAGGTTGCAAATAAATCAAGTTAAACACTAATCTTCCGTTTATCAGATGAATCCGTTAGCCAATTTTTAATTGGCGTTATCCTCCTTCACTGTTGGCCATCCCATTTTGTACTATTCGCTGCGCTAATCGTAACTTTAGATGGCCACACCATACTTCGCCCCTTACCACCGTGCTGACACTGCCTTCGGCGTGCACAAAACCAAAGAGCTCACATGACTCAGGCACCTAACACGTTACAATAGCGCTGAGACGAGGAGAGCTATTGGGCCATGGTGGGAGCACATAAGTGCAACCTGTGTAGCCAATCCGTCCCATCCCAAGGCTCACCGCGTGCGTCACTAGGTGGTTGAACAAGAGCAGGGTGTCATTAGCGTGGATACCTGCCGCACGAGTGGGCGTACAGATGTGAGAACGGCATGTGCAATTTCTGCTCGTTTTGTCACGGTCAGTTTCTCTGTGTTTTGTTCCTCATTGGCCGGTAAGTGGGTGGCAGTGGTTAGTTAGGATTGTGTGTCCAGATCAGTCGCCTGGTTGCCTGTCCTGTCTAAGAGTAGAGCAAAGGGGTAGTTGAAAAAGGTTAGTAATTAATAGCGACCGTTATTGTTTCAGTCGAAAGTCAGGTGCAGTCGAGTTGGAGGATTGTAATGCCTTGAACAACAGATTTCTGGCAGCCTTGATTCGATTTCAAAGATCTTGACACAGTGTTGACTATTTCAGGGTCCATGGTACTTGTTCTGCAGTTGTTACAACCCCTGCTGCTGTGTGTGCCCACTGCAAACTGTGCCAAGATTGAAGTGCCTGTTTTCGTTAACTATGTGATGACCTGCAACATCTTCGAACTTCCTGCCAAGCCACGTTTGGAGGACTTCTATTGGTTCCAAAACGGTCGTCTCAACCGTGGTGTAAACTACGTGCTTCTTCCTCACGGTGAAATTCCATTTGAAGGGATCAGTCCTGATGCCACAGGCATCTACCGCTGCTGCTACGGTGGTTTTGTGAAGGTTTTGTGTGCTGAAGAAATTCACCTCATCGTGAAAGGTAGGTGGTTCAGAGCAATCATTCTCAAACCCTACGCTGTTGTTGTGGTGTGAGAGCCCAGAGGGTTTGGGGTCTACCAAGGTGCTCTGCTAATGCTTCATTAACCTACAAGGGAGCTGTTTTAGGCTCAAACTGAACTAGAGTCCCAAATTTTAGTTGATACACACGTAACTCAAGCTGCTATTACCCAAACTTGGGAAAGCAGGTTTGTGTCTAAGACGCAGGTCATCGAATTTCGTAAATTGCAAGCACTGAGCATTGCATCTTTGGAAGTCATTTTTTCTGTTGTGTCAGGATGTAGGCGCAGATTGAGGGTTCACTTATTGGCAAAATCTATTAATTTGTATTGTGTTTCAGCTCCTCGACCAGACATCTTTCGAAACACTTTACTGAATATTACCCCCCAAATCTTCCCAAGTAAGTCCGTGTTATGTTGGTTTTTTTCGTCAAGAGTCAGGAGGACACAGATGACGCTTTGCCATTGCACTAAGCCGTTTAAAGGGTAACACTCGAGAGGGCGTGGGCTTGTAATGCCTGTTCGCCACAAAAGAGGCCTTCCTGCAACATGCCTAGACAGTAAGCGCAACTGAAATCCTGAATCCTGTGATTGTGTGCTTGGTCAAGAAGGAATTAGCAGTGGTAGGCGGGGCTGAACGATTAAGTGGATAGATTGCCAAAAAGGAGCAGATAACGGTAAAATTGTTAATTCATTTGTCCTTTGACTGCAACCTGCTTTGCAGTTATACACATATCTAGCACCGCCGCCTAACTCTTTCTTCCAGTTGCTTTATTTTGCCTTTCAATCAGTCAACAAAGTGTTTGGTCGTACTGAGGTGTAGGAGGTCGGCCTAAATGTCTGTGCCTCCAATTTTTTAGACAGTGTCTATTGGCTACCCCAGATGCTGACGACACCGCTGGAGGTCGAGATGACGACTGAGCCCCTCAAATTTGAATGTTTTTATTTCGTGCAGTCATTCACCACGAGGCGTCCGCGTGTGGCTTGGTACTTTAACGACTTCTACCCAGAGGATAGGCTATTCGAGTCCCTTGTCCAGGCAAATGGCGAGGTTGGTGCATACTGCTGAAAGTTTACTGATTTATCGAGACTATAACACCTGGATGTCATTAGGATATTTCGAGTGTGCTCGAGTCTCTTCGTTGGCATTGTAACGCTGTTTACTAGAGCTCCCCACCCAACGGGGTTCACTCCTCATCACTGTTGCCTGCCCTTGGGAGCTAGTTTCGCTTCCGCTGCCAATTGTTCGCAGAACTTGAAAACAATTAGCTCTCTCAAAGGGTTAAAAGATATCCGCCTACGCGTACATTATCACATGTGAATTTGTTTGTGCTGGACGAAAATATGAAGTCGGATTAAAAGGCACTTTCAAGTGTACAATCACGAGTCCTACGGGTTGATGCCATAAAGCCTCCTCTATGCACGAAAGAGGAACGTTGGAAGACGAAGATGTGTGGTGGTACTCGTGAGTCGACAAACGCGACAAGTACTGAAAAGTGCATGTCAGATGAGTGTGGAGCGTTATTAGTGGAGCACTGGCTGGTATTCCCATTCCTTTACACCTTGAATTAGGCTTGAAGCCGTGCGCATTTGTGCACGCCTCATGATAATTCGGGGCGTGCGGGTTCTCGTTGGTAGAACTTGTAAGGACGGGGAGAAGGGCTCGAATGGGACTAAAAGGGGAAGAGTAGTGCATTTATGCTTGCGTCTACCTGACTTTGATTGTTGCAAGGTCAAAGTAATTTATTTGACCACTTCCAAACCTTTTGTCTTCTCGGCATTTCTTTTTTCAACTATAGCGGTACGCCGTAAAAAATGAGGAAATTGTTTGTGAAGAGGATTACATGCAACATTGGAGGAGTCACTGTTTCAAAAGCACTCTCACCATACGGCGTCCGAGTGACGTGGGGAGGCGAGTGGTCTTCACGTGCGAAGTGAACATGATCAAGGCGGACAATCGGTTAGAGAATCAACTCAGTGTTGACTACCGTCTCGAAATCGACAGCCGTCGTGAATCAAACTGGATTTATGGGTGAGCCTTTAATCGAAATTGTGGGGTCCGAGAGGACGCCCCCTACTGGAATTTGAAGTTCGTTCACGATCGGCAGAAAGGCAAATTTTACGGTTATACGCAACAATAGGTTGAATAGGGGGATATGCATAATTTGCTTCTACTCTACCTGATTGTCGAGACAGACCTAAATGTCAGAGCTCCTATCAATTAAGCATGCTCGGTAAGCAATTGGACAGTGATCAAATGCGTTTATTGTTAAGTCAAGTTGCCGTTTTTTTTGCAAATCTAATGTGCCACCAACCGGCAATCATGCTCTCGTGTTCCTGTGCTACCCCCGTGGCGCTCGATTGAGGTAGAAATAAGGCATTGAGTGTGAACTTAACGCCTTGATACTTATTGAGCTGCATGGATTTTGCTGGTTTGCCTTTCTGTCGTGTGAATGGTGTTTTT